AATCTCACTTTACAGCACAGGTTGACTGGAAACTACACAGTGGCAATAAGACTCTGGAAAGTCATTTTATCTTTATGCCAAGCTGTCTGTAGTTATTGCACAGACATGAGATTTATATCAATATTCATATTCAAACAAAGCTAATAATACATTTCCTGAATTATTGAATTGACTCTGATGAGAATCAGGAGCAGAAGTAGGAATAAGACCCAATATTCACACCTTCATAGACACACTTAGTCGAGTGGTTAATGTGTCGCTGCTGCTTTGTTGTTGGCTAGATCGGAGATGTAAAAACAGCAGAGAGGTACTTCCAGGATGTGGAGAGAGCCTGCCAGATGAAAGGGAGCCAGTCCAGTCACATCACATGCATGCTGATGAACAGGTATGTCTGTCGTACGTTTAGCACCTCTGAACGGTGTGTGAGTGTGTACTTTATGCTGTTCAGGATCATTTTGCTCCACGGACTCTGTGCTTCCTCCTGGCATGTGATTTAGCACAGGATGTCACACCTCTGTAGCTCTGACCTGAGGAGATGTGGAGTTATGAGGCAGAGCTCAAGTGACAGAAGCTATCTTCCTCACAGCTGCGTGTGTTGATGCTCGCTTCACAGAGGCAGGCATGTTATTTGTTGTTTTGGTTATTGTTTTTATTTAGTGGTTTGCTAAGGCATGGGGGACTTGTACACCCCCCCAATCATCATACAGTCACACATAATGGAAAAATATTGACTGTTAAAAACATTGTTGGTTTGCTCACACTTGTGCTTGGTATCTAACATATACTTTAGTTTCTGACCTACATCTAAATAATGCACCTGAACAACCGACTGTTTACAATCTGTTGCAGATAACCTGCCCCCTCATGTACATTTACCCATGACTCCACAGAGATGCCTTCTCACACTGTAGTACTCACTCCACTCCACTACTCTGTTTCTTATTTACCAAATTTGCCTCCATGTATCTGCTCACATGACTTTCCAAACTGCTTAACACTGAATCTTTTATGTTTTATTTTTTTCCAGGGCCTTTGTCCACCTCAGTCAGAACAACTACTCGGAAGCTCATACATCCTTCGCTGAGGTCTTAAAGATTGACCCTAAAAACCCTGTGGTAAGTACGAGCACGTTTTTTTTAATTCAGTAGATTCTTGGGCAAAAGTGGCAAATTAAAAGTAAATCGACTTAATAAATTGTGCAAAGTCTGAACACCTCCTGAAGCCACTGTATTTATTCAGTGCTTCAGTTACAGAGCATTGATTGATGTGTCATTTTAACAGTAACATTCAACCTATAAGCAATAGCATGCAGTATCATGTAAAGCTCTTGAGAAACAGATGATGTAAAAACACAATAATATAGAAACGCTATTGATTCATTCATAGTTAAGAAATCTACTGTACAGTGTCCTCAGTGATTCCACTCAGACCTGTTATTAACATCACAAATGGTCAGTGCTAAGTTCAGGTGTGACACATACAAATGCCTCCTGAGAGCCGATGACTTGAACCACATTCAGAGGTGGACACCTGTGGCCACATCCTTTATGCTGTGTGAATGCAAATGCATCTTAAGAGTTGAAGGACAAAATCCTCTGAAATCCACTGACCTGCTACAGTTCAAACATATTTTTACGATTCTCAGTGGGCACATGTTGATTAGTTTGTGGCCACCGTCACAATATAAACACTCATCACCACATTATGAGATATTTTTTCAAATATATCTTCATAGCAGATCTACGCACAGCATCGATTCATTCGGCTCTTCCTGACTCTGCTCTCTCTCTCTCTCTCTCTCTCTCTCTCTCTCTCTATCTTGCTGGCTCTCTCTCTCTCCTACCGACAAACACACAAACATTGTCATCAGACACATCTGTAACTCAAACAGGGCTCATGCAGCATCATTTGCTCTTTACGAACACAAATGACACACATGATTATTTGCATATCGGGCGTGGAAGTGAGATGCGATCACAAGTGGTCACTGGAGACACATTCAGGACACAGATGAACTGTCCATTTGTGATTGGATCTTTCAGGACGAATGATAATACCAGGTCTGAACAGGTCCCGGCGTGATTTGATTGTTTAAGGAGTCAGAACATTATCTGTAGTAGTCAACAGTGATAACACCATTAGTGAGAAGTTCATATTTAATCTGTTTCCACCTACTCCCTCCTCAAGGCCAACAACAACGCAGCAGTGTGCCTGCTGTACCTGGGCCATTTGAAGGAGTCCCTCGGCCAGCTCGAGGGTCTAGTGCAGCAGGACCCCGCGCTCTACCTCCACGAGAGCGTCCTCTTCAACCTGACCACCATGTACGAGCTGGAGTCATCCCGCAGCACCCAAAAGAAGCAGGCTCTGCTGGAGGCCGTGGCCTGTCGAGAGGGCGACAGCTTCAACACGCAGTGCCTCAAACTGGTCTAAAGAGGCAGGAGGTGGGACTGGGGGAGGACACACACCCACACACTACTGCTACTGTAAACCCCCCGAGAATAGAATCAACCTACCGGCTCCTCTGAAACTCACCAATGCCCTAGTTAGAAGTTGTTGGTTTAATCCGTACTAAAGCAAACGTGTGGAATGTTGCAGTTTTAAAGGGCTTTGTGTTATAGACTATTACTTGACCAGGCCCAGTGATTTCAAGAGACTCGGTGATGTCATTGCAAGACATGGACAACTGAGGGACCGCTACGCCCTGCGAGGTGAGTCATATGACCAGCGGGGGTCGCTGTTAACAAGGTTATCATCACTACCAAATCTGCTTGCGTGCTTATGGCAAGACTGTTCAAGCCGTTGTCATGATATTATCTTTGAGACCATGCTGGCTGTGGGTTCGACAATGTTTTATACATTTTTATGTGGCACTGGATGTATTACAGCAGGAATTCACATTTAAAAATGACACTTTTCGGACTTTCCACTACATTCCACTGTTCCTTTTCCTAACCGGTCAATAATCAGACTGTGAGCAGAGGTGGTGATTCACTCACATGACAGAATTTGAGGGAAGATTCTTGGGTAATAGAACTGTAATAGAGAAATGTTTTTAAAAACTGATAAATCAGAATTGATGTCCCCATGATTTTTGTGCAGGGTCGTATATCTGCAAGTCTTAAACGTCACTAATGAGCCCTTTCATATATGAAACCTCGGCACTGATTACAGTCACATCAGAGTCCTGCTTTATCTTCAGAGAATTGAAAGAATGAAGAGACATCACACGTTTATTAACAGGCTTTGCAGCATTTACGCCCTTTGCTGTTAAGTTTCACATTTTGGATTCTGGTATTAAGCTCTTCTTTAATTCTAATATTGTAAGTGGATCAGTTAGCAAGGCTAAGAAAAGCTGGCCAATGACATCCATTAAGTGACTCCTACCTTACAGGTCATGGGACGTTGCGGTCCCTGAGAAGAAATGGTCCTGCACTTGACATGGGCATTATCCTAAGCTTCAGTGGGCTTTAAGATTTAAGTCCTCTTTTCATTGGCACACACCTGTTTGAGATGCATGTTTTTTTTACCAGGTTTATTAACAGTGAAAACAAACACGTCTTTCAGATTTCATCATACCCTCTTCTTTCTTCTTAACTAAATCATCATGTAAGATAATAGCAAACCAAAAGTGTAAACAGAGTAGAGCGATTTCTTTAAATTATTGTATAAAAATGATTGTGTTGTTAAATCTTTTATTGATTTGTTCTGGTTGATCTTTAATTATCATTGTTTACAAATTGTGTTTATCATATTTATGTATATTAAAAAAGGCATTGTTACATATACAGAACCCACATATTCATACTGTGTTTGTGTGTTCAAAGGTTTAAGTATAAAAGTACTGATGAAGTACTTGTAATCTCATGAACGGTTGAATATTTAAATTCTACGTTATGACTGTGTTATATTACTGATAATGATAGAACCCATTTAGGTTTATATGTATATACATTTATATATAGCTAATACATGGCATTCGTAGGAACAATTTGGATACTGTGCAGGAGGAAGCACAGGGGCGGAGGTAGACCGGATCGTCCGTGGGTAAGATATTGAACCTGAAATGATCCGGCTGTGTGTAATAGAAAAAAACTTATAAACGTGTAAAGACAACAACACTTTGAAAATCGCAATATAAATACAGTCCTTTGAAAAATTGTCGGAGCCCAAATTCAGGACAGCTGTCACACATGTATTCACTTGTCAATTATAAGTCACACCTAGTTAAAATTATACACAAGCATCAAACTACATCAATTAAATCACAATGTAGATTTACTTTAATGGTCCTTTTACTGTTTCCATGGTGCTGCTGAAATGTACTGGGTCGGACTGTGTCTTGTATTTTGTCCATCCAAATGATATCAACATTAAATCAGTCAGAAACAACAGCCTGTGACACAGAACACCATCAGGGATAATCCACTGATGGAAAACCATCCTCACCAGAGAGTGTTTCTTCTCTGTGTACATAAATACTTCTGAAAGGCCAGGACCACATCTTCTCTCATTTCATTGGCCACAAAAAATAATGTTCTGACCCCTTTGGCCAAATAAAAAATATTTATTTGGTTGTAGACTATTTTACTAGCTGGTATTATGTGTACAAAGTAATTGTTCCGGACATCCCAACCGTCGTGTGTAGTGATAAAATGTCACTTTAAATTTATTATTATTATGCTAGTGAGTGATTGGACCCTCGGCTGGAGTCTTAATAGCTGGATGCTCTTTATATTGGCAGGGGATAGATAATAGGAGTAAGAGTTTCCACTGTGAACTAAATTATATAATATATGACAGAAACTAAACAACTTAATCTTAAGGAAACCAACCATGTACTCCACACAGTACAGCTCTCACACGTTTTCACTTTTGATGGTTTAATTTTGAATGAGATTATAAAGGAGAGTTCCTTTATAATCTCAGTCAAATTCAATTGTTAGCCATGTTTGGACAACCTAACAGTCAGTGGGGGTGGGGTAATAAATCACTTACAGATATCTTGTGATTGCCAGTTTAATTTTCAGATATAAAGTTTTGCAGCACACACACTAACAAATACTCTCAACATCACCAGCAACCAGGATATTTTACTGTGAAAATTAAAAACATGAAAATTCATTGCCTGATACATTTTTCTCCAATGCTGGTGAAGGTAAGATTTGACAGAACCTAGTATATATATATAATAATCAAAGAGAAGAAGGCACTTTTACCCAGCAGTGGTAGAAGTATTCAGAAGCAGCAAAGTATTAATTATGGTTCGACTAATACTAATACTGCCAATTCTATAGAGTTTGTTTGAGTTAACCTGAAGAGGGATGGGGTTGTTGTTCATTAAGTGACGTATTTCACAAAGTAGTCAGTGATTTATTGTGAAGACTACCTTCCTCAGCACCCCCCCCCCCCCCCCCCCCTCCACTCAGCTGTGATGCTACATATGCCACACATTGCTATACACAATGGAGTTGGAGCGCCCTCTGCTGGACAAACTGACTACACCATTTCTCATTAACCCCAAGGATTTATTTTTTTTGTATCTTGACCTGTAAAAAAGATTTTTATATTGGACAATATACACAGATGCTCATAATTCAGTGATTGAACAATATTATGTATCAGTTGGCGCTAGTGCTAATTAGCACATTTCAAATCTCTGCATTCAAGGCTTAACCTGAACAACATAACTTCTATATATATATTTATGTAATATGTAAGCACCAGCTACATATTTTAATAACGTACCAAAAACTGAGGTGATCATTATTCAAAATGGCTCCTTCCTAAGTGAAACATTGCTATTTATTGTACTTTAAACTTGAATTATTTTCAAAGTAGCCGGTGATTTGAAGATTGTCAGGGTTTAGATCTATTTTGTTTAATTCTCTTTCACCCTCACTTCGATGTCTTGTTCAATAATCTTCAGGTAAGATTTGTGGAGGTTAATAGAACTAGTTAATGTTGGTACGGATCATCTGCCAGTTTCCCTGATGCACCTGGTCTTAGCAATAACATCTCTCCATAAAATCTATTTCTTCATCCTGTCACAGAAGTAAAGGTGGGAATTATATTAACTACTCTATGTATTAATGGGTACTGCAGTGTTTATCTTAGCAACTGTAGTGAAGTCAGGTATTTGCCACTTAAATATAGTGGTTGGAAGAGTAAGCAAATATGAAAAACACTTGCATCTCCGAGTATTTAAGCAGCTAGATTTCCACTGAGCTTGTCTAAATGTTTGCTACATCGTTTCATTTTCACTCATTAGAAAACCTGCTTTATTGCCCTGGTAGAATCACATTAGAGACCCTGACGGATTCCAGTCTATCGATGATGATGATGATGATGATGTGTGCAGCGTCTTCCTGTCCCAGGATCACTGCAGAGAAGCCATGTACTTCAAACGGACGTCCATGTCATCAGCTGGACGGTTGTAAGCCTTCCACACAGGCTCCCCCACAAACAGCCTCATGGCTTTAGTGTAGTTCTGAGAAACAAACACAGATAAAGTCAATCCCAATAATAATCCCGTGCTTCCACCAAGCTGCATGTTTGCCTTCAAGATTTTAAAAATATTGACAATTACAAAAAAGTCCCTTTTGTTCATTTCATTGCATTGTATTTCTTTTCACAGGGCAACTTTATCAGCTAAGAACAACAGCATCTAGTTAAGTGTAATCATGCAGATGCTGTCAGGCGTACGGTCTCGTCCAGGGTGAAGCGGTGGTAGATTCCTGCCGGTAAAGTGATCAAGTCTCCTTTGCTCATAGAAATTCTGATCCATCTATCCTCCTTGTCCCTGACGTCAAAGTAGGCCCGGCCGTCCAGGATGTAGCGGATCTCGTCATCCTGGTGCAGGTGCTCCTCGAAGAACATCTTCAGCTGAGGGGACAATCAAACAAAAGACAGAGGCCTGAATAATGGTGTTACGTTCAACAGCTCAGTGAAGAAGCCACAGAGTTAAGTGCGAGCAGTCTTATCTTTACAGATGCTTGCAAAATATGGCATATTTTATATAGCATATGATATATGTGTAATGCCGTATCCCGCCATGTTAAAGAAAGTAGAATAAATCTGTATCCAGCTGTTTATCTGAATCCGCTACAAAATGCAACAGGTTGTCTCTTGGGTCCCACCCCTCCTCAAACTTAAATTGAAATCAGTTCAGAAATGAAAACATAGTCTCCTCAGTGGAGGTAAAAAGATCATTAAATTACTAATTTAATATGAGCAGCTTTTAGCAGTGTAGTCTCCTCAGGTTACCTTGTCCTCGTAGCTAGGTAGCGTGTCCTTGTGAACAGTGATGATGTCCATGTAGCTGTAGCCCTGGTCCTTGCGGATCTGCTCCAGCTCTGGGTCAGTTTCATAGATATCAGCATTCAACTGCAAAGACATGACAATCAGTAAACATACCCATGTGTCGGAGGGTGCAAAAACCATCTTCATCATCTTTAGATCACATGTTATAACAAACTCAAATGCTGGCACTGTCATGTAATAGTTAAGTTAGCATAAAAATAAATAAATGACAAAATCCTGCACAGGAATAAAGTTATCACACAGACTCTTGTTCGAGTGTGTCAACAAACAACATTGTCCTTTTTGAGTCAGTTAATGGAATCATACATTTCTTTAACCACAGACACGTGACTTTCACAGAGCAGAACTCTGAATGCATCATTAGAATCTGTCACGTGAGGCTGTAGCTGCTCAGAACAACAGCACACTGTAGAAAGTGCTGTTGTCACATCTGTGCTCTTCAGACTTTAATACTAATGTGCACAAGCAATGCGTGTTTATCCACAGACCGTAATGCTCGTCTTGATTTCCTGAACTCTGTCAGCTCAACAATCTCAGGGCAACAACACAATAGACATGTTTGTTACAGCGTTAGTTTCTGGGTCACAGTGGTTATGCAACTCAGAGGCTCAGTGAATTCTTCATTTCCACATTCACATCGTGGATCCGCTGCCTTCAGCTCCGTGTGATGCACCTCAGTGTTTGTTGTGTTGCAGCTGTAGACGGCTGAAGTGGGTTAGCGCTCGTGTGGGTGCGTGGTACCTTCCTGTGGAACACCCCGAGCTGCTCCAGCACGCCCAGCGAAGCAGGCTGGTTGGGCTCCAGTCTCCGCGGCCTCCTCTGGTCCTCGTCAGAGCTGTTCATGTACCACGCTTCTATCTCCATTGTAGCCGCTGGACCCCACGAGTAAACACGATCCTTCCTCCTTCTCCTCTTCCTCCTCCTGCTGCTGCTGCTGGGCGGAGCACACTGATCACTGTGTGTCGCACGCAGCGTGACGCGTTGCACCGTCGTGACGTCAAAGCTGCGAGGTTCAGGAGTGGAGGGTTGGACCGTGGACTCTGTTTCCCCCGTTGCCGTGGAGACGATTGAAGCAAATAAAGTGTCAACGGTAATAGCTGCAACACACACACACACACACACACACACACTCACACTCACACACACACACACGTGTTTGTACTTCTACCTTAGACTCTCATTGGCAAAATACATCCCTAGACCCTTACCTTAACCTTCACCATCCAAACTATCCTAACATAATCCATAATCCATAAACCTAACTCTAACCTAACATAAACTTAACTCTAACCCAACTCTAACCCTAACATAAACTTAACTCTAACATAAACCTAACTCTGTCCCCACTCTCTGTAGGGTCTATGCCTAAAATGGTCCTCACAAAGATGAGGACCATTTTGTCTACTCAAAGATGAGTACAGGAACACACTCCATGACTTCACAGGACATTGCATTGACTGATGGATTGAAGGCTGAGGGCCTCAGTGAACAGATGTATTTGAGTAGTTTTTTTGAAACTGTCCAGAGATGTAGCGCTGCAGATTGCAGCATGGACAGAATTCCAGAGGGTGGAGGCTGCAACACAGAAGGCTGTGTCTCCAAAAGTTTGCAATCCTGAGTTTGAGGACTGCAGCCTTCTGAGTGGAGTGTAGTTGTGCAGGAGGTCAGTAAAATATGGTGTTTTACTGTAAATCTAAAATCAACAGGGCAAAGAATCAAGTTCCATCCATACTTCTGTCCACTAGAGGGAGCCAGAGACCAACAAATGATAATAAAGCACGTTAACAATGTGGTGGGGAACAGCTTAATAATGTTGGTTTTATTTCTCCATCTGAAGACTAAATATCATGTGTAGCCATAATTAATTCATAACTATGTAAGAGAGCTTGTTATGCAACTTGAGCAGAGCTGCCTCACATCAAATCCTCTTAGTGTCTCATAGACCTGCCTTCAGCTTCATGTCCTCTAAAGGTTCAGTGTGTAGAATTTTGTGATATCTAGTGTTGAAGTTACATGTTGCAGCTGAACACCCCTCACCTCACCCTCTCCTTCCAAACATGAAAAAGAA